ATGGAAAAGATTATTTCTGCAATGTACACCTCCAATTAATTTCCCCTATTTCTCCATCACCCATTGTACTGAAAGTTGCCTAGAATAACAGCTGCCATCCCTGCAATGTAATGGAGACGGACCTGTAACACTATTGTATCTGGTTTCTTCCCATTTACCAAGCTGATCTAAATATCCACTCCACAGACGTAGCCATCAAATATGAATGAGGCAGATAGAATAGCTGTGTATACACATCTATTTTAGTCTCAGTGAAATACATAAGAAGCAAGGGGACTTGTTCAATTATATGGTAGACAGAGGATGGAAAGCATTTTTTTTAAAGTGATACAAGAGTTTGCTGTGGTTATATGTCATGGTTACCTGTCAGTTTTTCTCTTCAAGACTACAATATTGATAAGCTGTAGAGCAAATTCCCCATCTTTTATAATTATTAATAGTTCTATGAATTCTTAACACCAAGTCTACATTAAATGTAGTGATGCTCACTTCTAAGTCAATGTTCATAGGATTTCATGGCACATTACTGTACTATACTTCTGAATAATTTAATGCAGAAATTGGTCAATCTTATTCTGCTTCCCAGTTACTTTTAGGAATAACTGCTAATACATTCAACCCAAAACAGCTAGTTTGATCTATGTGCAAATAAGTGCATACTATCAATGTCTTGACCCAGTCTCTGGAAACTAGTTGGATGTAGATAGAGAAGGACAGACTTAAGCTCAATCATAGGATTTCCCACTCTCTCCTCAGTCCAGTGATGGGATTCAAATAATTTAACAACTGGTTCTCTGCAGGGGGGAGGCGGGGGGGGGCGCTGCCATGAGGTGGGGAGGGGGACCTGTCCCTGCACCCCGCAACCGCTTATCGTGCCCAAGGGCCCCTGCAGCCAGGCCTACCACGTCCTGACATCTGTTGCGCCTCACCTGTTCAGTAGTGACTTCTCTCATTTTCTCCTTCTTCCTCCTCTTTTGAACAGCCCATCGCTCCCATTGCTGCTTTTTCAGTCCCGGATTTCAATTTGTCCGTAACCTGTGCAGTGGGTCTTTGGAAATGAAGCCCCGCAGCGATTGGATGGGATGGGAACCATTCCTTCACTTTTGGACTGGCTCTGAAATGGGCTGGAAGGAGCGGCCCAAGGACTCCAACCTGTCTTTGCAGCAAGCAAGGGGATTGGAGACTCTAGTCTGGCATCTCAAAAAAATGTTTTTTTTTCCTGTGCTAGATTTTCGCTGCCATACTGTTTAACTTTCTGTAAAGTTTACTTGATGCAGATTTATTTATGTTTTTTTAAAAATGTGGTTGTAAAACTATGGAAAGTTACATACCTGAAAAAATAGCAATATTCAAATACATGGAATTAAAAAATCATAAGGGAAGCATGCTTTTCTGTATGACTTGAGGATATGAGAATGTTTCTGTAAATAATGTATATGATTTGCAGTTTTTCTAAAAGCTCTTACTTGTTACAAAAATCTGCTGCCAAATTAAGTAGGCAGTGTTATGAATTGCTTTTCAGAAATACATCCTATTGAACTCAAGGGGATTTACTCCATATCATGTATATATTATAACCTAATTAAAAATAACAGGAAGTATTTTGGAGCTTAAGGAGATTATTTCATAAACAAGCGTTAAGATTTTGTTATAAATATTTTAATTATTCAATCCAAAAATTCAAACACAGCAATCTTTATCAGGAACATAACTTTTTTTATTCAATTTCATCTTTTATACATTCTATCTTCAAAAATATTAGTTTCTTCCAGAAGTCCCTGTCTAAACTTCACTGAAACAAAGAGAATGCTTTTTCCCACTCCTCAAAGTATATTCAAATATTTTCCCCCTACTTTTGCAAAACCTGGGTTATTCCCAAGCCCACTGATACTGGGACTCCTGTCCTTCAGTGATAGCTTGAATGATAAGTATGCTATTATTAAATATCAACAGAACCCACCTGAGTCATGTTGTGTCAGACTAAACATTTCAGGTATTTGTATTTTGTTCCATTCACAATGCTATATAATGACATTTATTTATTTATAAAAGTTATATATGGCCATCCAACTCATTCATGGTGACTCGAAGCAGCCTACCACTTGATGGGCCCCATATCACCCTGTAATCTCCAAAACAGCTGGCAAAACTATATTTTCAGGGTCTTTCCAAAGAGTATCAATATGGGGGCCAATCTTATTTCTGCAGCGATGATGTTCCAAAGTGAGGGAGCCACTATGGAGAAAGCCCTTATTCTTGGTCCCACTAGATGGACCTCCTTAATAGAGGGGACCAGTAACATAACCTGCCTCCCCCTCTGATGGTCCACTAGATGGAAAAGATGGTCCTTCAAATAATTGACCCTCCATTTTTTTAAGAATCACAATAATTATTCGTTGGCATCAACAATACATATGTTGATTGAAGACAGATTCCTCTGAAAAGGTAATCCTCTATCATGAAGTTATTATGTGGTTTTCCTAGCTTTATTTTCCCCTGCCCCCTTTCCTCTAGCAATGGGCACTTTTACACAAGGTGTTTTTTTTTTCCTGAATCAATTTGTATTCCTTTCTGTGATGTTCTTCAGCATCATGAAGTGTTAATACCACTTTATAATGCCTTGGTAAGGCCACACTTAGAATACTGCATCCAGTTTTAGTCACCATGATGTAAAAAAGATGTTGAGACTCTAGAAAGAGTACAGAGAAGAGCAACAAAGATGATCAGGGGACTGGAGGGTAAAACATATAAAAAACAGTTGCTGGAATTGGAAATATCTAGTTTAATGAAGAGAAGGACTAGAGGTGACATGATAGCAGTGTTCCAATATCTCAGGGGTTGCTACAAAGAAGAGGGAGTCAAGCTATTCTCCAAAGCACCTGAAGGCAGAACAAGAAGCAATAGATGGAAACTAACCAAAGAGAGAAGCAACCTAGAATTAAGGAGAAATTTTCTGACAGTTAAACAATTAACCACAATTAACAACCTGCCTCCAGAAGTGGTGAATGCTCCAACACTGGAAATTTTTAAGAAGAGACTGGACAGCCATTTGTCAGAAATGGTATAGGGTTTCCTGCCTCAGCAGTGGGTTGGACTAGATGACCTACAACAGCGGTTCTCAATGTTTGTGTGACGGCGACCCCGTCACACAAACGTTATGCGCATGTGCGGCGCGGCGCCCCCCCATGCGTGGCGCGCATGCGCGGCGCTGCCCCCGGAGGGGAGAAAATGGTGGATCGCCGCCTTTGGCGACCCCCGAAAAATGGTCAATCGACCCCAAATGGGGTCGCGACCCATAGGTTGAGAACCGCTGACCTACAAGGTCCCTCCCAACTCTATTATTATTATTATTATTATTATTATTATTATTATTATTATTATTATTTCAGCCAATTATTATTTCTCTCAGTTGTACTAGAAGAGTTGCATTCATTTTACTTATTCTTTCTCTTGGCTCCTGAGCTTCAAGATCACTAAAAGAGGTCCTAAAAGCGAAATATTGGCTTGATACTTATCATCTTTACAACCAAAGTGAGCAGAGATGACTCCTGCTCTTTCTGCAGTGGATAACTCATGCAAAGTACATTTGAGTTTTTATCTTTCTTTCTTGAACTGAGTGGGAGTAAGAAGCCTTTTATTGCTATAGGATGTGTGAGAGATCAGTGATTTTCACTTCCATTTTTGGCATTTCTGAGTCGGCAAAATTGAAACCAACCATTACTTGTTTCTAAATTGCTTTTAAGGAACTGGGAGTGGAAAAGGTGATACTTTGGAACTGCCCTGTCTGCATCCTGCACCCTACCTAAAGTTCCAGAGTTATTGTTCTATTAACTAATGGGCAAAGAAGACAATCACATTCAGAACTTTCAGTTGGATATTTTATAGCTGTTAAATTATGCTTTCTATGCTGAGTTTGATGTGATGGTGGTTTTGGAGGGAGGCTAATGTTTTCCCCTCAAACTAATGTTTGACAGTATAGTTTGACAGTATCCCTAGTACCCAATTGTGTCTTTTTCTTTGGTGTTAGCAAAAGTTTTGTGGATGTTTCCAGACTTATGATAATTCTGCAATATATATATATATATATATATATACACATACATACATACAATAATGATAGGTCACATTTCATATTCTGCCTACTGAAGGGTAATAGTAGCATCTACAAAGATCAGTGCCAATACAAGAGGAGATAAATTATCTCCTGGTTTCTCTGCTCTGCTGTTTCCTGATAAAAAACAGCAAATAGTCATTTAGAAGCTGCTCATTGAGAATAGTTCTGGATCAACAGAGTTTCATCCCCTCCAGGCAATGTAAACATTTTGCTCATTGCTGAAGGTTACAGCGGGTTAATTCTCCAAAGCAAGTTGCATTGTTAGAGCTTCTCAAGAGCAACATAAAGCAGATTTAACTGCTGAAGTGTTGTTCATAAGAATCTCCATGTCACCAGAAGACAAATGAAAGCAAGATGTCCTAGTTAAACTTGATCTTCATAAGGCTGCACTTGGTTTGATTGTTGGTTAAGAAAATTACAACTGGGACTTTTCTTTGCACCATGACGTTCAGAGCTGCTTGCCATTAGAAACATGGCAAGAACATGGTACATAGTACATGGTGTGGAAGAAGACTGTTTTTTCTCTCTTGGTTTCTGGGTTCTTCTGCCTGTGACAGGTTGACTGGGAGATGCTTGCAATACAAAGAGATAGAGATTCAGTTTCGTTTGTGTCTCACTTTGACTTCTAGGAGGAGATATATATATATATATGTTTTCTGAGGTTTTCGCGGGTATTTGTATGTAGGTCTTTGGTTGTTCGGGTTTTCTCCCACGTAAAATTGGAAGTGTCTTGGCGATGTTTCGACGAAGTCTCATTCGTCATCTTCAGGCTGGTGCTTTCAGCTTCGTGCTTTGAGCAGCGTATATATATATATATATACACATACATATATTTAAATACATTTTTATTTCATTTATATTTATATTTCTTATTTCCTAACTAGTCACCTCCCTCAGAGAGGGGCTCTGGGTAGTGTAGAGTGTAATCAATATATGAATAATATAAAATTAACATTAAATTATTAATATTAATTTAAGATTAAAAATGTTTAAATTATAAAATATAACAAAATTTCAAAAAAGTAAATAATTTCAAGATGGGCATTTAGCAATAGTTAATAAAGGCCGAAGGGGTTCTCATGGGGCCAGTCAGCGCATGGACCTTTGTGCCCCCCTCACAAGGTTGCACAGCCAAGTTTTGACCCCCTTGCAGAAGGCCAGGAGAGTGGCAGCTCACCTCATCTCTGGGGGCAAGATATTCCATAATGCGGAGGCAGGGGCAGAGAAGGCTCTATTGCTTGTTGGTTGCAAAACTCTAGACTTAACACAGAGCCTGTCCAAATGTTGCTGTTCTATTTTTATTTTAATGGGACTAAAGAGAAATTGTTAAATATTAGGTATTTAACTATTTTAGTTAAGTTCAAATGAAAAGAAATGTACAGTGTGTCCTGACCTTCAGCATCCTATTCATAGGGTCATTTTCACTGTCAACTTCAGATAAGTGGCACAACTTTGTTGTGTCAAACAATTGATCTGTCCAATACCCCCAATTCCTTTCTAACAGAAGTGAGCCATAATGACAGTTGGAAAAATGCTCCTCCAAACCTAAAAATACCACTTAGAGGGCCCAATGTTTCTAAATCTAGAATAGGACTTCAGTGTTTATGGTTAAAATGTCAGTATTCTGCAACCAGATATTTTTACTTTTTGGATATATCAATTCCATGTCAGAATATTCTTTAAAAGTATGTGATGATCTGCCAGTCAAGGTATGAAGAGATTTTCTGATCTCACCCCAGGATAAATTTCTGGACATCCTATGTCCACGACAATCATCTGATAGGCCCAAAATATTTCTGGATCAGAACCAATGGATTTAATCAGTTCCAACCTTACCACTGATTTGTTATGGAACAAGTATATCTTCCGCAGAGTTGTAATTTTATACATATTGTGTCTTCCACATTTTTTTTCCCCCTTTGGAGTAAGCACAGAAATGTCAGAACAGAGGTTACTGTTCTCTGAGTTGGATAATTTATTCCTAGTTTGAGCAGGTTTATGCTCTGGAAACTGATCCTGTAACCCGAAGCCATATTTTTGTAATCAGCCTAGAGGACTTACAACCCTGGATCTTCTTCCAAGGCAACATTCATTTGCTAATTATCTCTGCCAGACAAAGGCTAGTAGGTTGATTAACACCTTTGACCTGCATGGACCAGACAATCCTTAACCCCCTAAACTCAGATTTTCCTGAAATAGTGCATGACACTATCAATGCAGCTGAAGTATACTTCTCATATGACAAGTGGACGAGGAAATCTTCTTATTACTCATTTATAAACGCAGCAATTTTCAGGGCACTTCTAACTGTGGCAGCAGTTAATCAAAAGGGCACGATTGCAGGGAAAATCTCTCAGTAGATTTGGATTGTCAGGTGAATGTTGTTGACTTAAGTATCTTGATGTATCTTTATTTAGTTTCTCTCTTATTACTGTAATCTGGTATACACTTCACAGTGCTTAAGAACGCATCAACCAATTATTGCGGCATGAAGAAGTCTTCCTATTTTGAAGGGGCATGCCCTCATGATGTCACTTCCATCTAATCTCCAGACTGAGAGCTTTTAGATGTTCCACTGTTGAAGTGATAAATTTTCTTCTTATCCTAACACAAGTCATGCTATCTATACAAGCAATCTACAACAGTTCTGTGATAAACTACAGGGATGAGGTGGTTGTGGACAGTGACCTGCTGTCAGCCCTTTGAAGTAGAAGAAGCACAAACCAAGCACTAAGATTACCTTTACTGGAAGATTACAGTAATAGAATCTAAGGAGTCTGAAAACATTTCTGCTCTCATTTACTTTTATTTTCCAGAAAACCAGGAAGAGTCCATTCTGAGATTTTCCCCATGCTCCTTTTCCTCTTGTGGGATGAAATTCCTTTTGCATGATAGTTGTCTGGTCTATGGCTCTTCCTTCTGTCTCCCAAGGTCATTTCTGCATATCATGAGATCTGTGTAGCTCCTATTTGCTGTCTCAGTCTATGCAATGGGCAGAAGGAATAACACTGAGAATTAAGAGAAAGAGCTGCTAAGGATCCAGGGCAGCACTGTAACTTTAGAAAACGTCTCAGACCAAACCTTCTCTAGTTCTGACAAAGATAATACAAGGGAGGGAGAAAGCATATTCAGACTTGCAAAATTCTGTTACCATACCCTTATAATAATAGTAGTAGTATTATTATTGTTCTACATTAAAATGAAAGCATTTTCTGCTTCCAAAGCTGAAGATTCAAACCATCAATTTCTTCTTCTATATTTGATGTAGGTATACTCCAGCTTCACCTGCCTGTTTGGAAAGGATCAGAAAGCTTTGTCTGTTATCATCATAATTTCTTATAAATAGAATCATAGAATCACAGGGCTGGAAAGGATCCTGGAGGTCTTCTGGTTCAATTGTCTGTCCATAGCAGGAGATCTTATTCGGTCTTGGACAAATGGCTATTCAATCTTTTCTTGAAAATCTCTAAAAATGGAGCATCCCAACTCTGGAAGGTAAGCTGTTCCATTGATTGTTTTGACTGTCAGGAAATGTCTCCTTAGTTCTAAGTTAGATTTCTTTGGAGTAGTACTATCACTTCTTGTGATCTTGATGCTATTCCTTTGTTGATGCAGTTTAGGACTGTGTTGGGTTTTTTTTTATTTTTACTTGATTTTTTTTTATTTGATTCTTACTTAAGTGGTAGTCCACTAGGATATCTAGATCCCTCTCACACTTACTACTGTTGAGTAGTTTCATTATGCCAGGAGAAAGTTGATTTTCTCTCTTCATGTATTATGTATACCATTCTCCTAGCATTGACCTGCAAAGAAACCTCCAACACTACTGTAACTTTGAAAACATTATAGCCAGTAGCACACTGAAATTGTGATTGCCTGTTAGAAAAGCAGTCAGGGAAAAACTACAACAGCGTTTTGATGGAAAACAAAGCAGGGGGCCACTTTGAAAAATACAGTGTTTATTACAGCAATCAAGACATTCATGAGATATAAAACCTATGCAGATAGAACTGCTCCATGATCAAGTGATCTATGTGCCTCCTTTTCTTATAATTCTTTCTCTTTTAATCAACTACAGGCTTTACAAAACTTAATTTCATAATCACTCAAATAGAGGGTTGTCATCTAACAGGTCTTTTGTCTATTGCAAATTTGGGAATGTGGCCCCCATGCTATTCTTACAAATGGTGAGTCTGTGGACCATCTTATTTTCTCTGGTGCTTCTGTTTCAAGATGAAAAGGTAATTATGTAGTCCAGGAGAAGCAGAAGATATTGTGTGCTTTAAAAAGCTGCTGAAAATCTTTCATTCCTTTCATGGCCTGTGAATGAGATGATGGAAATGGGAAAGCATTTTCAATTTAGACCTGATTCTCACCCTCATGGATATTCCCTTTGGAACCTGAAGAAGAATGACTCGTCATGAACTAGAGTCTGCTTTAGTCATGATTAGGTCATGTACCATATTTATACTTATCACATCTCTGCCTACCTCTTTCTCTCCAGAATTAGGTCAGAGGAAGCAAAAAATGTAGCCAAATTAACACATCTGAACAATCCAATAACTGTTTTGAATCATAATCAGTGTGAGAGCAAAAATAAGCAACATTCAGACTGGCTGCAACTAATGAGAAAGTAATGGTAACAAGGGGGGGGGGGAATCCTTTAAAAGGTGCTATTTAAAGCAGGGATTTTCTAACTTTTACAGACTGCAGTACCTGTTAGTTAAAAAATAAATAAATCCCAGAACCCCTGTTCAAATGACAAAACTTTACCATTAGAAAATTGGTTTTATTTGAGTGCACTTCTACTTTCCCAATGATGATGAACTTTTTTATTTTGCCTGTAGCATCTCATGGAGGCCCTCAAATTTTCATGGATGTTATGATTCAGCAGAACACAGTTATAAAAACCCTAATGTAAGGAACAATTCTTCTGAAAGACTGCAAAAACAGCCAGTGTGGTTTCACAAAGAAAAGGATCTTGCAGAGGTAGATAGAACATCTTAAAATAGAGGATTTAAAAGCACAACAACAAATAATCCTAATGTAAATGCTGAAGAATGCAATGTAGTTGTCCACTCAAATTTAATAAAGGCCTGAAAAGAAAAAGATACATAAAAGAGCAATGTCTTCTTTGAGATGAGAACATACATTCATCTGGTAATTCTGAAGAGCAGAATGAAGAACAGATTTGAGATTGATAAAAATATGGCATTTATTCTGAATAAATTTAAATATCAGGGGACAGAAGACTTGGGTCCTAGAATAATGAAGGAATTTACTGATGGGATTCAGCTGAATTCTTACATAATATAAATATACTGTAAAGCATCAGACAACAGGAAAGGAGTAAACGACTCTTATCTTCCAAAAGAGGGGAACTGTCATTCAGTCAGTTTAACACTGGTATCTGAAAATATACTGGATCAGAAAATAAAATGATCTATAAGTAATACGGAGATAAGCAATAAATCTGTCAAGAATAAGTCTTGTCAAAAGAACTATTTTTGCATAGTACGTCTTTTGTAATAGATTATAGGAATGCTGTAAATATAATATACCCCAACTTCAGAAAAGCATTTTAAAAAAATATTCCATGACTTTGTAAATAGCGAAGTAGTTAAATGTGAACTGAGTGGTATCACTGATAAGTGACACATAGATAGTCTGAAAAGCATATTAATGGTTCCTAATCAAATTGTAAAGAAATAGTGATGGTGCCACGTGGTTCAGTCCTGGTTCCTCTACTTTTCAGTATTTTTATTAATGTCTTGACTGAAAAAAGAAAGTGCTTACATACTTGCAGAGAACACACAATTGGATTGAATAGGCAATATCATAGAAGGCTGAAATAAAATTCAAAATAATTTGGAAAGATTAGAGCAGTGGAATTAAAATAACAGAATCAAATGCATAAGATAAGAATCACTTGACTTGGTAATTTTAAAAGTGAAAAGGATTTTTGAATACTGAATTATTACAAACTGAGTAGCTGTGCCATTTTGCTGGCAAAAAGACAAATTCAGTATACACATAAGTATAGTCCAAATCATGTGAAACATGGTGTCAGGTTATTCTGTATTGATCAGAACTTACCTCTAGTATTAAATCCATTTTTTTTTGTTTCGTACTTACAGGATTCAAGACAAAATTCAGAGAATGCAGTAAGAATGATCAGTGTTTACAGCAGAAACTAAAAGCTACGATTGGCAATTACATAAACTGGAAATGTTTAACTGAGAAAATTGAAATGGCATATGATAGCACTCTTCAAATAATTGAAAGAAGGTCATTTTAAAGAAGGCCAAATTCTTTATTAGCTTAGAGGGTAGAGCATGAAACAACATATTTATGATAAAAGAACTGCATATGCCAAATTAATGTTGGAAAAAATTGCAATATAAATTTGATCATGTAAATAATTACTCAAAAAGATGGAGAATTCCATGAGACAGACTTCTGTCAGAGATACTTTGAATTCCTATTCTGGATTTAAATGCTCTCTTCTAACTCTATGGTTCATAATATGATACCAACCTTAATTCTTCCTGGATATTCCCCTTTACCTTCTATATGAACCTCACAGGAATATATTAAATTGGCTTTTGCAGCAAATAGGACACTGAAGGCATTATTCAGGATTTGATTTGTGAACCTTGATGAATACTTTGCAAAGAATGAAAAGCAGCAGGAAATGACCGTATATATGCAACACATCTTCCTCCCTGGGATTTATTTATTCATCTAGTGAAAGCTGTGTCAAATTCAGCGTTGTCATGTCTGATTGTGAAACGGCATATCAAATTTCAAAGGCATTGCAGACTGGCTTGCAAATGAAATATGATATGATATAGTACTTTTTGGAGAATATTACATATTAGAATTGTGGACATAAGAACAAAAGTGGCAAAATTGTTTATAATATACTGAAGTATTCTAAGCAACTAATGACCTTCAAGCCCCACATATTTATCAGTGAAAAGTTCCTAATTAATCATGCTTACATAAGTTAATTAATTTTCATGTTTTTATACTTTCTTTAAGATGGAGTGGTTATCTATGACTCTCCAGATATTGCTTAACTGTAACTCAAAGTGGCCTCAGCTAGTAAGATGTAGTTCAGCTATATTTATGTATCTATCATTTGTCCATCCATCCATCCATCCATCCATCCATCCATCCATCCATCCATCCAATGCATTTATATAGCAACCAACAATAAGTGACTCAGGGCAGCTTACAAAACTTAAAATATGCATCATATAATAAAAACCTATAAAACAACCCATTTTTGGCAGGGGTTGTAAATTTTCTCCTTTGCAAAAACGCATACTGCAACAAAAGGGAGTTTTGACTAAGTCTTATATACATTAATGGAATGGATTTGTAATAACTAGATACAGCATTATTTCTGTCAGTGGCATCTAATCGAAACCATATTTGGCTGAAGGGAGCCCAAATAATAATCTTAATAAATAAATAACAATAGTTTCCAGAATAGCTGGCTGTAAATAAAATAAGATAGCATCTATGGTAATACACCAACTTGCAACTATTTAAACACACCCAATCTTCAGGGTTTAATGGATTCAATACTTTATGTACACTACTATATAGAATATGAAGAGTTTCATAACCATTAAAACACTACTGAGGCCGTCATGCACAAATGTGAAGTTTATTGGATAATAAACAGATATCCAAGAATGTCTGGTCCTAGTCTTACATGGATCCTGATTGTGTTTGCCTCTTCAACCTCATCTTATTTTTCACTGGAGCGATGCTTTATGAAGATACGGCATCATTTACTGGATTACCAAGGAGGGAAATGGTGGTTGCCAGGTGATGAGTCATCACAGCCATATTAAGCCTTAATTATTTCCTGCTAATTAATTGTCATGCCCCAGTTTTGCCACTGGAGCAATCATGGAGAAAGGACATTTGGGAAGGATCCTGAATTTGAGAGATACAGTCTGGAAAAATAGTTTAGTTGATTATGCAGTACCCTGCCAAATGTTTGTGCTATCCAAATTCAAGTCTTGTATTACTTATTCAGCACTTTGATTATGTATATGAGATAAAATAGGGCCTTTATCTTCTAAAAACTGGAACTTTGAGATGCTTTCTGTCCCTAAAGACTAGAAAAAAAATCAGTCCAATCCCACTTTGAATTGAAATTTAAAAAGAAAGAAGCAGCAGGTAAGTTTGGATAGCCATACCATAGCTGCTCACACCTATATTATCTAATCCAGTTATTGATAGTATATTTTATGGGAAAACGAACCAGCTCAGATAAAGTACGTGATCAGTTAGAATGATCATAGCAGCCTAATTAAAAGTAAATACCAATGCAATTGAAATATTAGTAAAAGGGGTCTTCTAGACAGTCTCCTCTAAACTGGACAGAAAATTTTAAGAGGCATGAGGTCATTTACACGGAATAACATATTGTTCTCGATTTGTGTTATGTACTACTAATGGAACAAAAGGTTAAAATGATACAAGGAACCAAGAAGCTACCATTATATCAAGTTATTGTTCTTGCACAATAACTATACTTTTATTCTATACATCCCTGAGCACAAACAAAACTGATTTAGCCTAAAAATTAGAACATTGTAATGTTTTGCAATAGGTCCCAAACCCAGGAAGACCTAACTCACATATACTGTATAATAATTTTGTCCCTTGTGCATCCCAACATCTCCATCATAGTACTTGCTTTGCACAAGCAATTTTGGTGACTTTTCAATGACTTATCTTTAACTCTAATGGTCCCCAGCTATGGAGCATTTGGGGAATACTTTTAAAGAAGATATTGTAAGAGATGTGTCTTTGTCAGTGTCTCAAGCAGTAGCCTTGTGTCTTAATGTCCAAAAACTTCTTGTGAGCTAGAACAGAATCCTTGCTGAAATTTTAAAACTCAGTTGCTCTAATTTTTTTAAAAATTATTTTTATTAATAAAATATTTTGGAAATATGGAGTTCCTAATGCTCTCTGAACCTGGCTATTTTTTTGCAGATGTTTCATTATTAAATGAGGTAACATCATCACTGTTAGCAGGGAGTGGAATTTGCTCTCGTTTTACATTCAAGGGGCTTGCCCTGCCAGTGCAAGGAAACAAACAAACTGCAAGAGAACCTGGGACTGCACAGTTCAACCCTGAACTACAAATATTCTCTTCTATTGGTATTCTGGAAATGCCTATTATTTCCTCCAATTACATATTTTTTTTCTTGCTATCCTATGCCACAATAAGGCAAGGAATGAAAAATGTGTTCCACCTGACATTCTTATCCTTTTAAAACCATATATTTCCTATATATAAGTCTTAAAAGGATGGAATGAGAACTCTTGTAAGTCTGACTAACTGACATCTCAAATGGGAGATCAACAATAGTCTTCAAAGCAAAACAAAGTAACCCAGCCAAACAGGTATGTTATACCTTAATGCTATGTATGAACTAAGCTAGAATCTGGTAGTGAATTAGCTGAAATGGTCACAGCTCAAGTATTGTGCCAAGAGTGAATTTAAGAAGTTTTTGTTTTCTTGTACTGAATTTTCAATGGATGGAAACATGACAAAGGGCAGAGATGTTGTGTGTAATTTATACCACAGATATTATCCATTAGGTACTAGCATAATCACATTGTAAAGTAGACTTGAAAACCAGTATGCTTAAGTACAGCCCATGCTTGAGAGGCATTTCACTTATCCACCACTGATTCCTTGCAGTATAAGGTCAGAAGCAGATTAAAAGAATATGAGCCTCTTGTGACTTCCATACATAGCTGTAGCTGAGACTGCACTGTACCTATCCAGCATTTCAAATTGCAACAGGTCTAATTGCTATAGAATAACGTTTTCCCATCAACTAGCTATCTTGAGCTTTGAGTGCAAGGAAAATGTGATATTCTTGAAACAGAATCATTACCATGAATAAAGCTTTTCTTTATTCACACACGCACACATACACACACACACACACATATCTGTAAACTGACTGCTTATCACCTAAACTTTCTCCACAGAACACATTTGATGAGTTAATACTAAACATTCACAATTCCCTTGGAATAACTGTAAACGGAATGACAGGGCTGCTGGATTCAAGGTCCAAAGCAGTCAGAAAGCACTCAACAGCAGCTTCATTTTTGCCTTGAGCATGAAGGACTTCTCCAAGGCTGTTCCAGGCTTTGTGGCTGGTACTCTGTATTTGGACTGCATCCTGCAGAACCTTCTGAGCCAAATTTCGTCGCCCAAGCTTGTTGAGTACCAGTCCCTGCCAAGGAAAAGTAAACCCAGTGTTAACAACCACAAAACTTAATTGTTTGATGAATTAGAAACAGGAAAATAAGAAGATACCGAATCAGACCAATAGTCCATATTGTCAATGGCTTTGCTAGATTAGGATTACCTATGTAGACTGCAAGATCGCAGTGAAGTGACATAAAAAACGATAATTATTGTGACTACCAAGTTATGGTAGTTCTTTCTTGGATTTCACCCAGAATCATCTTCAGACTGATTTGGTGATTCCAGGAACTAAACCTGGACACCATGAACTGTACTACTGAGCTATATATAGCCCTTGTTCTCAAATACAAAGTACAAGTATAATGACAAGGTACTCTGAATGATTTCCTTAAACATAAGCAGTATATTTTTTAGCTTGTAGCCTGATGTTTTTTGCTTTGTTAATGAACTCCGATTTCTCAAATTTTCATTCCAACTCTCCCTTGATATTTTTAAGTTCAGCAATGGAGTGTCTAGAAATTTTGGTTCAGCGATGAAGTGTCTAGAAATACTGAAAAATTCTCCAATAATTTCACCATCTCCTGGTACTTGATGTTGATTTGGGCCATAAGAACATAGATGGCACATTGGACAAAAAATGTCTTATAGGAACATCCCCCAAGTGTATGGAACATTCTGCTTTTGGAACATTCACAGCAGTGAAAAGCATTGCATTGTTGTACTCTGAGACAGAAGCGTATTCTAACTCTGAAGAATAAAACCAGTATTCCCCAACCCAATATCTCCCAGATCCATTAAGACTGTAAGACTATAATAATAATATTCTAATGCATTATCTTCCATAATGCATTATAACAAACATTCCCAGAATGTATATGAGGAAATTGATCCAAAGACTTGTATGAATTCAGGCCCATTGCCAGGTTTTTTTCAACAACTGAAGGGCCCCTCGACTGACAGAAAGATACCAAAATATCAAAGTCTCTCTTAGGATGACCAAGAGAAAGACAACTTCTTTTTTATCATTTTTAACAAAAGAAAATATTCTGAATTCTAAAGAGTTTCCCCTTACTCAGATCCACCCATCAGATATCTTGGACTACAACCGCTGTTAGCCTAGGTCAGGCTGGCAGTAGTGATGGCTCTGCCCACTGCCAAAGATACCAGGTGCTGATTCCAGCCCAGTTGCTATGGGTTGGACAACTTGTCTATCAAGATGTTTGAAGTAAGTGTCTAATGCCCTTCATCCAATAAATTTGTAAGAATAACCATGAACAACAATTTACTGCATTGTATTTATATAGGAAACAACAAGCTTGAACACAGATTATAGCATTTATATACTACTAAAATACTTCTGTTTGTCTATAATCTTCAATTGGGCAAAACAATGCATCACTTAAAGAATGTGTCCAAAATCTGGGATCTCTTATTCCTCTGGGATTCAAATTGACAAAGTTGCAGCTGCCAAGCTGCCATGGACAGTTGTGGTTACATGGTCGTCATTTCCAATGTTCCCTGTCATTTTTCCACAAGGAAAGTCAATGGGGAAGCTAGCAAGAAGTTGGAAGTTGCTCCTGCACCAATTGCTTTTTTTGTTCTGCAGTTCAAGGTGCAGGAAACATCTCTGAAACAATTACTCAGTGGGTCATGGGTCATCTAGTTAACAATAAAATGAAGGACCCAAGTAAAAGACCAGAGCAGATTTGGATCTTTCTCAAGGTGCCTAGGAAGACAGAAATGATTTAAAATTGATACAAGTAGTCCTCGGTTTACAACAGTTTGTTTAGCAATGGTTCAACACTGAAAAAAGTGCCATGACTATTTTTCACAATTACGGCTGTTGTAGCATTTCCATAGTCATGTGATCAGATGCTTGTCAACTGACTCATAATGGTTGCAGTGTCCTGGAGTCATGTGACCACCTTTTGCAACGTTTTGACATGCAAAGTCAATGAGGAAGCCAGATTCGCTTAATAGTTGTGTTACTAGCTTAACTGCAGTGATTCATTTAACAACTGTGCAAAAAAGGTTGTAAAATGGGGCAAAGCTCACTTAACTGTCTCACTTAACAACAGAAATGTTGGGCTCACTTGTGGTCGTAAGCTGGGGATTACCTGTACTTTTTTATGGAGGTACTGCTCTACCCCTCCAACACCTCTTCTTATTTTTTTTTTCTTATTGCTGATTTCCATATTTTATTTTTTGTTAAGGAAAAATAAGGAAGAAGGGCTCAGTAGTAGATTTCAAAACATAGAAAGTCTGGAAGGCACATCTTTATGAATTTTGGTCCCAAGTCAGTGACATTCACTTGAAGTGTGAGTGGGCAAAGGGGATGATCAAGCCCGTAGATCCAGCTTTTCTGAGATTTGGAAATGGGGTGAGAGAGGGGTGCCAGCTGCTGTGCTACGGATGAGGGGTCAGGCAGCATTAACACTGAAATTTTCCTTCATCTCACCCAATGCTTCTTCACAGGAGGGCTGACATGGGGAGGGAACATTTATACAAAAAAGTAACAGCCTCAGATCTCTCTGGATTGGATAAAAAAATCACAGTCCCCAAAAAAGAGCTATGCATTTTTGACTCTGGAAAGCTAGTATGACACACAGCACTGAACACTCTGTTTCCTTGAAGAAACCTCCCCTTGAGAGTTGCGAAGCTCTGGCAGAATTTTATATCTCCCTACAGAGTCTGGCAAGTGGTAAACAATACCTTCATGTTATTGCTGTGTATAGTCCAGCTGGGATCTGCCCACGATGCAGAATGGAAAAGTGGGGTGGGGGGTGGGAGAGAGGGAGAGGAGAGAGCAACAAGAATATTCATGTATCCTCCTGCAGAAGGCAATTTATATTTTTAGCTGGGCTCTTTCTCTCTCTCTTTCTCTTTAGTAGATTTCCTAGTGAAAGTTCAGTTTCTCAGTTTCCATAGAAACGCTTCGTATTAAGGTGCATGAATAATTTCATAAAATCAGCAGAGATTGAGGAACATTAGAAATATTAAAACATTAGAAACGTGTTTGTGTGTGTGTGTGTGTATGTATATGTATGTACACCACCCTATTGCTATTTCAAGTGAAAGTAAAACTGCTATTCCCTTTTGTTTTGATAAATGAAGTATTTTCCTTAAATCAATATCAATCAAAATTGAATCCCCTGGGGCTTTTAAGATTTTTTTTCTTTCCACCTCTTTTCACTCAATTATATGTCAGGGTAGGAAAGAATTTCCCATTATTGATAAACGCATAAGAATCTTGCTGGGCAGATGAGACAAAAAGGTCTATCTAATTCAGCACTCTGATCTCAGAAATGTCCCATATTAAGGACAAGCACCCTTTTCCACTGCTGCACATGAACACCTGGCATACAGAGATATGTTGCCTCTAAGCTTGAAGCGTCTGTTTAAATATGAAGAACACCCTTCTCTACCTAATTCCCTTTAAAGCTCCCTAAACCAATAGTAACCAGAAATGTCATAAAGTTCGCAGTGTTTCTCAACCTTGACAATTTTAAGGCATGTGGACTTCAACTCCCAGAATTCCACAGCCAGCATTGCTGGCTGTGGAATTCTGGGAGTTGAAGTCCACATGCCTTAAAATTGTCAAGGTTGAGAAACACTGTGCCATAAACAAATTAGGTCTCTGTATGAAAAAAGTATTTTTTAATCCAGATAATGATATTTTCTACTTGTTAGTCACATGCAAGGCTGGTTCTAGGCCTAGGCAACTAGGCAGTGTTCTAGGTGCCAAATTGTAGGAGGGATTAAAATTGAAAAGGCTTCCATGATACTCAATATGCATACAAAATCTGATTATCTTTGCTTGTTGCTTTAGAATTTTTACACTTTTCAAAAACACCCACAAGGTCACTTGAGTGGTAGCGAACAATCACTAACCAGACATTACAAGTCATGAAAAAGAAATCATGTTTACATCTATGGACTTCAGGAAGCTGATCATAATCTTGAAGCAAGATAAAGGTCTGATAGGAAGATCCTAAGTGACTGGGTTGTGTGACTATTTGTTTATCAAAGTTATACTTGGAAAAGCGAAAACAGCACATTGTGTATGCCAGAACACCCGCTTGGGGGTTAAATATAATTTTGCAGAATTGTTGCCATATGACTGCAATGGGTGCTGATGTAATTAAAATTACTGTGATTCACTGTAAATAGGTTGAAAATATCTGAGGGGGAAAAATTGTCCAAAGCTGAAAATCATAAGCATAAATTTCAAAGACTCAAAAGAAAATAAAAGAAACAAGACTGTGTTTCTGAAATTCCTAACAAAATTGGAAGATGAGCCGAAGCTTACAGAGTGCCAGAATATGACTGTGTCCAAGTTGCCAAAATGTCAAAAACCAGCCCTGGGCACATGGAGTTGTCCTGGCAACAGATGACCCCAAATTCCATGTTGTCCACTTTTCAGTGATATACAAATGGCTGCCCTAGTTTTAAATAAAGGCTTGACGGCTTCAGCATCAGATTTTTTTTTCTCCTTTTGTTTGATCTAATTAAATGCTCTGGAAAACTCACAGTCATGTATATTAATTTGCAATCTATTTTCCTGCATGCCTCACTGAACCACTATCCTACCGAATGGTGCAATGGATCGACATGCTAACAAATGCTAGATCAGTGATTCTCAACCTTTTTAATGCCGCGACCCCCAACTGGTCATAAGTCGAGGACTACTCAACTGGTGCAGCACCGTTTGCAAAATGGGACTTTTGGCGGGCTCAGCAGGGCAGAGACAGCCTGGACAATTCCTATTGGCTTTTGAAAGCCAATAGAATTAGACTCTATTCAAGAGAGTCTATTCTATTGGCTTTCAAAAGCCAATAGAATAAAAGGGAGTAGCACAGCTGAGGAAAAGGGGGAAAAAATGGCGGACTGTGTTGTTTGGCGACCCCCGTGAAATGGTCGTTCGACCCCAAATGGGGTCCCGACCCACAGGTTGAGAACCACTGTGCTAGATGCTTTATTTATTTATTTATATTTATTTATTTGTTAAATTTATTTGCCACTTAT